GTTGTGAGCCCAAGAAGTTCGGAGGCTGGAAGGGAAACTTTGGGAAAAATATTGTCGAACATCTCGATCGACATGTTCACATGCTGGAGTAAATACATGTGCATACCTTCCAGTAGGTTCGAGGGAATGATGTCTTAGTCTGGATGCAATCTGGATACTACCAGTTTGCAGCGCGGTCGAGATGCAATCCCCTTAGTTGGAGAAAAGCGCTGGTTTCAAAAGTCGGAGAGCAGCTTTGGCCAGCGCGAGGTCGCTCTGCCCGTGCTCGCTTCCAGAAGTCTTACCGATGAGAGGGCGCCTTAGGCGATCGTGGCGATCCAGTTTTGCTGAGGGAGGAAAAGATCCAGTGAAGCTGCTCCCAAATGCTGCTTCCATGCGGATGTTGTGCATGATGTTTGAAAGAAGAGCTACTGTGTGATGCTTAAGCCGTACAAGGAAGGCTGATGCATGCCACTTCGTGAAGATCAAGAGCCGCAGCTATCTCTGTTCAATAGCACAGGATGAGCTGCGGCAGGTTATGCCCCAGTCTCATGTAGAGTTGCAGGCTTAGAGCCCTCATTGAGCTCTTCTCCGTTCCGGGCGTCTCCCGCTTCGACGCCGTCGTCACGGTTCGAGGTCAGGAGAGTGCTCCGAAGCTCATGGTGAGGGCCAGGAGAGGGCGCAGCGGCTGGGGTTCCACATCCGGCTAGGCTTCCGAAGGCTAGGGCCGCTAGGGTCGTTGATAGACCCAGCCTGACTATGTGGTGTCCAATAAGATCCAATTCCAATAACAATATTTTTGGATGTGATGGTTCCATGTGTTTGGTTGTTTGGTCAACAAGATGATTGCTCTCTTTCAACGATGATTGCCCCTTTGTGGGGCAGCTCATGGCAGATCCCGGGATGGATTCAGCACGCGATGGATCCTGTGTCGGAACGTCTGGGAAAGTTCTCTTAGGATCCTGTCTACATGTAGAGTCTATTCAGACACTCCATGGGACTGCCATATATGCCGATCAGTTGGGGTGGTTTGGGGGGTCGCATATATATGGCAGTCCCATGGAGTGTTTGGGGTAGAGTCTATACATGGACCATGGGGACTCCCTCAAGAACCACCAATGCATGCCGGACATGAGTCCGTCTCCGCACGCCAGACTCTGCGCCCTCGTTCGTGTCAAGGACTTGGCCATTCCGGCCGCAGGCAGGGCACCGGATTCTGGGGACCCTGAGTCTCCGCACTGCCGGGCATGCATTTTCAGCGGTGGATTCTGTGGGTAATGATATTCAGCTGTGGATTCATGTATTCAGTGGTGCGCAACAGGGCACCGCAGCCAGCTGTGGATTCTTCCACATGTCCCAAGCTGGACACCGCAGGCTGGACACCGCAGCTCGGCTCGAAGACGGTCAAGTCGACGGCTCGAGAGGAGGACTTCTGCGGACTTCTGCGTGCGTGTGTGCTGGACTTTCACCGTGCCACAGCAGACAAGGAACTTCGCATTGACATGTTACGGTGTTATGTGAGGCAAGGGAAATGAATTGACCATAATAATATAGGACTAATTATATACCTGCACCCAGCGCCCGCAGGAATTCCAGTCTTGAGCCACAAACTTGTGAGCTGGCATTGCTAATTGTAGAGTCTATAGTCAGCTCACAATTAGACTATAGTCTAGAGTCTCTATTAGTCTATAGTCTATAGTCTACAACGATCTGTGGATGGCTGTTCATGTCGACAGGACTCGATGTCTCATCAGGACTCTCCGTGAATTCCTGAGAGACGGGACAGGGATCCCTGAAAAGGACATGGAGAGCCGACCAAAATAATTAGATCCTGAGATGGGGAAAGTGATGGATTCTTCAATTTGGATGAGACAGGATCCATGGGAAATGGAGTCCTGGTCGTTGAAATTTACATCCGCTTATGGCTGGATAAAGTCATGCCTTACTTATGGCTTATGGCTTTCTATAGTATACATCCATTTCCCAACCCAGACACTCCCGGAGTGTCTGCCATATATGCCGCCCCATTGACCCCCCTGGCACCACCCTGGCCGTTTCTCGGCAGTCCGAACTGGCAGTCCCAGACGGGTCGTGTCTGGGTGGCCGGTGGGTTGCACTTCGGGGTGATGGCCGGTGGGCGGAGAGAGTCCGACGCTTCTCACGCCTCTCACGACGCTGAAAAGGGTCCGAAAGGAGCGTACCTTCGGAGTCGGAGTCGCTTGGGAAGCACCGAGCAGCACGAACCGGAAAAAGGGGTGGGTCGAGATGAAAAGCAAGCTCGGCCAGACCTCCGTGTTTCCAACGCGTCCTGTTTGTGTTTTGGATGAGTCTCCCAAAAGAGTTCGATGGGGTCACGGTGCGCCCGCTCCTTGACGGCCTGGTCCAAGGCTCTCCACTCGGCCATTTCCAAGCCTGGCAGACTTGCGACTGCAGGCGCCTTCGCAGCACGACGCCGCGGGGAACGCGTCGCGAGACGCCGAACCGACGGATCGAACGGCACGAGGGACTGGGTGCTGCTTCATGCATGTGAAAACGCCCCCTGGTCGAATCATTGGGTGAACGTCGGGTGTTTGACGCCCAATACGCCGAGGTGGACGAGCGGCTGCACGAGGCAATCAAGGGAGGTGCCTTTCAAGGCACCACACGGAGCCGCAGCGAGAACAGCAGGCTCCGATGGGAACTCAGGCAGGGACGGGACGACGAGTCCTCGGCGACGAGACCGGCCATGGTGGTGAGGTGGTGTTGTGTGATGTTGTGTGTGGTGTGATATGTTTATATATTGATATGTGTTTTTGCCTGGCTTCAAGTTTAAGGGGTCCGGAACTAGAGTGAGATGATTGGACCTGTGGTGCGAGCGTTAGTTTTTGGATCTCTGTTTTTGGGGGAGGGCAGGGCATGTCAGGGTCCATCGGTCTTGGGCATTCCTTCGTCAATGGTCAGGGGCCGGCGACTTTGTTGCGCATCAGCAGGGGTGCGGAAGATTCAGAAACGAGCCTAAACATTATATTATATGATATTCACACCGCTTTGCGGTCGAAACCGCCCGCACTCTCCGAGTGTGCGTCGATCTGTCTCGGTCGGTCTGTCTCGGTCTGTTTGGGTCTGTCTGTCTCGGGCTCCACAGGGGCAAGCACAGAGGATGTCAATAATGCAGGGTCTCTTAGGCTGCATAACAGACATCGCCAATGCCTTGCTCCGAAGTCAAGCGGACAAGCATACACACGATGTCAATATAGATATAATCACAGCACTCTAGAGCAAAAGTGCACCCCCGAACATAATCTAGCAACTCTAGCAGTGTACGCGAACCGGACACAACGCCGCAATTTTTGGTGCGGGCGGATTTGTTCGTGGGAGCAGACGGAAGCCGCAAGCGCAAGCCGTCAGCGAATGCTTCTGAGAAAGGAGAGCGGCTTTGAAAATCACTGAAAAGCCAAGTGCTTTTCTGTGCGATGCGAAGGAGAAAATTTGCCGATGGTTAAAGTTTGTCATGGATGTGGCTAAGGTCAGACTCACTTGTAAACTTCGGGAGAAAAGTCATGAAGCGGCGTGATCCTTGAAGAAGTCTGTTGGGGTTAGAAATGTCTGGGTTCCAAGATGCATCAGGATATGTCGGGATCAGGTGGTGCCCATGGTTCGTTTGAGTCTGAAAGAATCAGAATCAGAGAGGTATCACGGTATGATACAATTTGGGGCTCACAATTGGCGTCCATCCCTTGAATTTTCCCAAAGTGCCATGGCCAGGGCAGCTCGATGTGAGCTGGAGCAGGGCGAAGTTGAAGCAGCCTGGCAACAAGAGGCGGGCCGTGACCGACCAATGACAGAGGACAGTCAGGCATTGAAACCATTTACTGCAACTAATCTCACAGCCACGGATCAAGATTTGAGTCTGAACGCGACAGCAGCCTGTTCAGATTGACAAGGGTTTGCTTTGATGCGGGTCAGTTTACAAAGGCGCGTGCATCTGTCATGTCATCTGTGTGCGCGCATCGTGTCTCCACATGTTTGGACCTCCCCGTTCCCCCAAGAGGTTGGACCATCCTCATCCTCCCTTTCCACGGACGTGACAGCTCGGACGTTTTGGGCGCTGGGACGCACGTCTGAGTCACGGATCCTTTTTCGGCGCAGCCGGTGCAGGTGGAATTCTGGAAGGCAGAGGTGAGCAGACTAGAAGTGGTGGACTTAGGTTCTTGAGTGACAAGCTGTTCACTGCTGGGGTGTTTTTGTTGTTTAAATATATCATATACAAGTTGCAGCTTTCATGCATGTTGGAGGAAGGATGAGGAAGGGAATTCTTTGCACTTGAAGATTTTCACACTGAGGCAGAGTTGCTTGAGCTAAAACAGCATCGGGCACAGACCTTGGCCTTGTTCAGTTCTGCAAACATGTGATCGACGGATCTCTCTCAGTCTACCCCGACGCCGGCATACCCAGCACCCCCAATGAACTGGATCTTGACCAGTGGGGATAGGGATCTGCCATGCAGGTCAACTGGCCGTAGAGGTCTCAGGTTCTCAGTGTCTCCATCGTCTCGGAAAGATCGAAGTCGTTCGAAGGACACGAGGATGGACTCTCCGTTGATTAAAACATTGCCCAAGGGGGTGGGAACCCGAAGCTTGGGGCCGAGCCTTGCTCCGGAAGACACTCCCAGTCTCCCGCTTAGACTGGGAGACTGGGAGTCGGCCGAGTTGGTGTGCGACATCCACAGAGGCATCTGCAGAAGCGCTCGGAAAGGGCCTGCAGAAGGCGGCGGAATTGGGCGGAAGGTGGAGCTTTGGTCTTGACCTGCCAGAGGATACCCTTTGCAATCCTCCACAGCAGGGGTGTCAAACACACCCGAACCAAATCATGTTTATTTTTTCCGTTTGGGTCCGAATACTACTTAGTGTAGATTTGACACGATTAGACTATATTGGACTATGATAAGGAGACCCCCAAGACACTCAAGAAAATATGGACAATTAAGGTCAACACTCCCATTGGTTGGGGGTCTTGCTATTCTGATTATTGTAATTTGTTTCTTCAATTTGCCACCCAGGGCCGCAAGCTACACAGCCACGAAACCAGCAATTATCATGACATGCTGAGATATGGCTGAAGCTAGGTTTTGAATGGTTATGACATGTGTCTATTCTGAGGCATTTTATACTATATATGATTTGGAAAGAAGGTATCAACCCCAGCGAGAAAAGGAACATCTTGGAACATCTCAAAAGAGTTGAAAACAAGTGAACCTACTGTGAGCCACATCCAGCCATGAGTGGAGCAGCCACTTCTCTCTTTTTGCGTCACTTCAGACCTTGCCACTTCCTGCGCGATTCCATCCCGGCCGCCACGTGCATGCTGGTGCAGGTGCAGCCCACGCCGCCAACGTCCCAAGCGCGGCACGAGGACGATGCGAGCGAGACCGCTCGCTGGTTCGGTCGAGGGTGTGGCGAAGATGACACCAAGAAGTGGAGGTGATGTGTAAAGTGTCCATCTTATAGTTAATGTATGTATAGACAATCTATGACAATATATATTTATTTATACAAATTATGTGTTTATTGTTTATTATGGGTTGGTCTTTTTCCTCAGTTGTGGGATGATTGCCGTGTTTAGGTGCAAGACATTGGCAATATGGTATGCCTACATTGTTTAGTCCATAATCAGTTTGGGAGTCTTCAAATCGGGACAAGGTCCAGATAAAACATTTAATTGCCTAAAAACATCTTACAACTACCCTACAGCTTTTCAAGGACCCAGCGTCAAGAATTGGTGTTTTGCTGGATCTTCTTGCTTGACCCACAAGCAAGTAATAAATCATCATTGATCATCCATTTGCATGAAGAACGAAGAGCACCTGAGAAGGCAACACATCACCCAAACAATTCCAACAACCTGATATAATATCCCAACCAATTATTCATGTGTCTATCCGCGAATTGTTGGTGGAAAAGAACTGCGCGCAACACCCAGTCAACACCCCCAAACGTGTCGCCACTTTTCGCCGAAGAGCCCAGCGGCGACGACTTTGCCGCAGGTGGTCAGTCCTCTCAGTCGAGCCGAGCGGGAACTGGCCCAGCTGGAGAGCGAACAGGCCCAAAAAGCGTACAGTGAGTGCTCCATGCGGCCGCTTGAGCCATTCGAACAGGTGGTGGAAAAGAGATGAAATTGATGAAGACTTGAGCTAGCAACCTGAATGTGATGTGATGGATGAAGACAAGTGATTTGTTCCAACTGCGCTTAAAGTAATATAGAACATATTTGAATAACGAAATGCAGAAAGCCATCCGATGGTCATGCCATGAGGCAGTGCCTTTGGGTAACGTGTTTCTTCTCATGGGGTGCGCTGTTTGAATCCATGCAGATCTGCCATTTTTGTTCCATCTTGATTGCCACACATCCCCACACCTTGTAAATCCTTTGCTCGGCCCTGGTGCCCGCACGAGTTCCGCGCGTCCGTCTGACTCCGTCCCACCGTCGGTTGAGAGGCGAAGTGCGAAGCAGAGGTCGAGGAGGCGGCGAAGGGGGCGCCGTTCGGCGAAGGTGTGGCTTTTCTCTCGCGGTATCCGATGAGTCGAATTCAACGGGGGAAATCAAGATCATCATTTGGGGGTGTCCGAACTGACCTGTCACATTCAATTGATCATAATTTATATCACTATATTTTGGAGACAGGCCTTTACTAACCATCATCATCCACTGTTACAGGGTTTTTGGGATATACCCAAAACATCCCAAAACATAATGACATCCAAGTATACCCCAGACACGACTAATGGGACTGCCATAGGACTGCCGATCAGTTGGGGTTGTTGAAAAGGGGTCGTTGGGGCGGCAGTCCTATGGCAGTCCCATCGGTGGGTGCTTGCCTGGTACTTGCAGGCCGTTTGTTTTTCTGTTCGGTTCGGCAGTCCAAAGGAATAGTCCGAGCGGTTCAGGTTGGGTGGAGGACCCTGCATGTTGCTGGACCCTTTTCTTACAATTGGGACGGTTCAGGAATTCTGGTGAGTCCAGAAACAAGGACATGCTCCTTGACTCAAAGTCACACAAAGGCTCAGACCCTGTCGCTTCAGACACCGAGCGGACAGGGCCACGGTGTCGATGGCATTGGAGGAACGAACTGCGGCGTAGCCTGGGAGTCGGTCAGACCAAGAATGGTCTGACTGACTAGGTGACCCGAGTTGAGGAATTTCCTTTACTTCAGTCGGTCCAAAATATAGTCGAACTGGACTTCCAGGGTATCATATCACTCTTCTTTCTTCTTCCCTCTGTTGAAAGACAGCGGAATAGATGAAGAGAAGACCCTGCCCGTGCGACCCGTGCGACCGGTGCGAAAGCATCCCTTGGTCTTAGACCGAGGTCCCGGGCCCCGGGATGAGTACGCCAGGTGGAACGGCGAAACGCCAAGCTGCGCTATGGCCTGAAGCAGAACTTAGGGCTGGAGAGAGGCCAGGAACTCAGTTCCTGGCGTAGAAATCTTGGAGAAACACTGCTGGCAATACCAGCAATGAATTCATACAGCCTTGGAAATGATTGGAAATGATTATATGAGGCTTACGCCTGACAGCCGGGCGCCGGCCTATTTGGGTTTGGGTATGTGCAGGGCTGGGTCCTCTCTCTCTCTCTCTCTGTCTCTCTCTCTCTCTCTCTCTGTCTGTCTCTGTGTCTCTTTTTCTTTCTCTCTTTGAGACTTGGTGGGGCCTATATTGAGCAAAGTTAAGCTATCTGGTGCGCATCTTGGCCCTAGGTTGGGCCAAGTTGAGGCCATGTGGTCTATGTTGGGCACATCTTGGGACCATGTTGAGCCTATGTTGGGCCTAGGTCGGCCTATGTTAGGCCTATGTTGGCCTAGGTTGGGCCTATGTTGGCGTATGTTGGCCCCATGTTGGCCTATGTTGGCCCTATGTTGAGCCATCTTGGAGGCTATGTTGGGGATATGTTGCCTATCTTGGGCCTATGTTAGAGATATGTTAGGCAACTTATGTGCACAACACCCACGAAATGTCGATTAAGCCTGTCCGCGCGGCGCGCATAACCGACACCACCGGCGCCCTGTTAGGCCAGAGTCGTGTCCGCCGAAGGCCACGAAACACTGTAAAAAACGGTGTTTTTGAACATTTTTTGAACAGCCTGCGCCAGATACATATGAATCGGTCGACACGGGGTCGACACGGGGTCTCCCCGCGGTCCAACAAAAGGGTCGGCGGCAGGGGCGGCGAGCGTATATAACCTTCGGTTACCAACCGAAGGCCTCCGGCAAGGACACGGGCCCGTGGCCGGCGCCCGGATTTATGAGGCTTACGCCTGACAGTTAGAGTCCGCGCACTGGATCCTCTCTCCCTCTCCCTCTCCCTCTCTCTCTCTCTCTCTCTCTCGCTGTCGGTCTCTGTCTCTGTCCCTGTCTCTGTCTCTGTCTCTGTTTCTTTCTCTGTCAGTCTCTGTCTCTGTCTTCTCTGTCTCTGTCTCGGTCTTCTCTGTCTCCGTCTTCGCTGTCTTTGCCTCTCTCTCTCTCCCTCTCTCTCGCTTTCGCTTTCCCTCTCCCTCTCTCTCACTCTCTCTCTTTCCCTCTCCTATTGAGCAAAGTTAAGCTATCTGGTGCGCATCTTGGCCCCAGGTTGGGCCAAGTTGAGCCCATGTGGTCTATGTTGGGCGCATCTTGGGCCCATGTTGAGCCTATGTTGGGCCTAGGTCGGCCTATGTTAGGCCTATGTTGGCCTAGGTTGGGCCTATGTTGGGCCTATGTTGGCGTATGTTGGCCCCATGTTGGTCTATGTTGGCCCTATGTTGAGCCATCTTGGAGGCTATGTTGGACATATGTTGGGGATATGTTGGCTATCTTGGGCCTATGTTAGGGATATGTAAGGCAACTCATGTGCACAACACCCACGAAATGTCGATTAAGCCTGTCCGCGCGGCACGCAAAACCGACACCACGGGCACCCTGTCGTGGACGCCGAAGGCCACGAAACACTGTAAAAAACGATGTTTTTGAACATTTTTCGAACATCCAGCGCAAGATACATATAAATCTGTCGGGCGGATTCGGGCGGGGGTCGGGCGGGGGTATCCCCGCGGTCCAACAAAAGGGTCGGCGGCAGGGGCGGCGAGCGTATATAACCTTCGGTTACCAACCGAAGGCCTCCGGCAAGGACACGGGCCCGTGGCCGGCGTCCGGATTTATGAGGCTTACGCCTGACAGCCGGGCGCCGGCCTATTTGGGTTTGGGTATGTGCAGGGCTGGGTCCTCTCTCTCTCCCTTTGAGACTTGGTGGGGCCTATATTTAGCAAAGTTAAGCTATCTGGTGCGCATCTTGGCCCTAGGTTGGGCCAAGTTGAGCCCATGTGGTCTATGTTGGGCACATC